CAGCTAATAGTAGGACGAGGAGAAGAAGCCGTTCCTCGTGCTGGCTTCTGGAATCTAAATGGCAAGGTAGCTAATACAAATATGCTATTTTTCTCTTAGTTTAACATCCAACTGTTAACAAATTACAATATTTGATAAATTGTGTTCTGTGGATGCTAGCTGAGCCTATGAGTGTTGATAGTTGGGCAGTGGTGAGTTTCAGATCATGCTTTGATCCAAGTATGGTCTGTACATATTTTGCTAAGTCTGGTGAAATGATGGGAATTGTAAGTTCCTACTGAAAAAAAATTAATTCCTTTTCTACATTTTCTGTTTGTTTTATCTTATTATACGCATTCTTTATTCTGTTACTAGTCTGTAAAGCCTCCGATTTGCATTATTGAGGAGAATAAATGCCTTAGACAAGCACCACCGGCCATTAGGGTCGAGAAGATATTTGAACAATTGGACATGAAGCTGAAGCCATTGAAAGCACAATCAAATAAAAAAAAGACGTGGCCAGATTTCAACTTTGCCTTCTGCCTAATAAAAATTCCGACATATATGGTCAGGGTCACCTTGTTGCATCTACACGTTTTTTTGTTCATCTCTGCAAAATTCTCATGAATCAAATTTGTTTCATTGTTTTGAAGGTCCATGGAAAAGGAAGACTCTTATAGAGCTTGGGATTTCAAATCAATGCATTTCATCAAGTAAACTTGACATGCAATATTTTAATAGTCTCCTGCTGAAGATCAATGCCAAAGTAAAATAATGTTGCTTTTTCGTGCATTTATATCCTTACATGCGTTAGAAGTTGCATTTGACACTAGTCTCTTTTGCTTCCTTGCAGCTTGGTGGTTTGCACTCTCGACTAGCAATTGAATGGAATTCTCCAGCTCTCTTTAAGAAGCCTACCATAATTTTTGGTATGGATGTATGTCATGGATCTACAGGACTACATGATTTCCCATCCATTGCTTCTGTAAGATGCTATCTTTCCTTGTACACTATTTTCTTCTTTCTATTAACTTTTTCCCCCCTCTAAATATTTCCTGCAACTTGCAGGTAGTAAGTTTGAGATGTTGGCCATCAATGGCTCATTACAGGGCATCAGTTCGTTCTCAGTCATCCAAGGCTGAAATTATAGTCTCTTTTTAAGCCCATGCCTGGCAATGGTGACAAAGACGAAGGCATGATCAGTTAGGTCCCTAAATTTCTTATATACATGTGCTTTAATTCAACTCAACAAATGATGACTGCATGCTGTTCAAAAACTTTTGTATATACACGTGCTTTATGCATTGGGTGATGTTTGGTTTGATTGTTTTTATTTCTTCTGTCCCTGTGCCAAGCAAGGAAAGTACATGCTCAAGCTAAGTCTTTTGTGCTTTCTGACAGGGAGTTATTAGTGGATTTTTTTCAACCTCAGGCAAAGTGAAGCCTTCACATGTTATAATATTCAGGTAGAATTTCTTCCAGTTTCATATTGTGAGATTTGAGTGTCTCGAGAAATTACTTCCTGTTATTTTTTAAAGTTCGCTGTCAGATTCTAGTGGAAAACTGGTAAACCTGAAGCAATGTTCTGATCATGGATCTAATTAATTATTTTTTTATGAAACTAAGTCTCTAGAGCTGCTATTTGATTATTGTTTTCATGTCTAGGGATGGAGTTTCCGAGAGTCAGTTCAAACAAGTCTTGAATGTAGAGTTCCATCAAATCTTGGAGGTCAGTTTTAATTCGAAAAGTTCTCTTTGCAGATTTTGCTAATAATTTCTGTATTCATCATGGTCTTTTTGAAGTCTTGCTTTCTTTTTAATGTCAGGCATGTAAGCATCTCGATTCAGATTGGCACCCAAAGTTTACCATAATCATCGCGCAGAAAAGGCATCATACAAAATTCTTTCAATCTAGACAACAACATCAAAATGTTCCTCCTGGTGAGGAAAATCCTTGTTTGAGATTTTTTATTTTGTTGTTTACATCGTCATCTCCTAAGCCTGCTAAAGCTCCTAAAATGCTAATGCAGGAACTGTGGTTGATAGCAAAATTTGCCATCCTCATTACTATGATTTTTACATGTGTCCGCATGCTGCATATGCTGTAAGTTGAATTTGTGATTACTTCAAGCTTAAGCCTTGAATTTGTAATTACTTTCTAATTTCTCCCTTGTCTCTAAGTTGTAGGCCACAATTCTATCCTGACTTCCGTAGATAATTGGCCATTTCTACATTTGCGCTATTCCATATTACCCTTTATGAAACCTCACCTAATTGGCTAATTCCAAAGAAAGACTGTTGGTATTTATGGGATTATAATATACAACTTTGAATGATGAAGGATTATTATGTTTATTGATGCATTAAAAAAAGAAAAATATCTATAAAAAAAATTGACCCTCAATCAGTACTTGTGTTCCACTATTATTTAGGGACGGAGGGAGTGCCAATTACAAGTGTCCTTTTGAAACATATTTATTTAACTCTGGCTAACTTTTTACAGGGTACAGCGAGGCCGATACATTACCATGTCTTGCTGGATGAGATAGGAATTTCATCTGATGAGCTGCAAGAGTTAGTTCATTCTCTGTCCTATGTGTATGAACAAAGGCCATACGCCCATACCTAACTTACCTTAAAATTAAAAAAACAAAAAAAAATTTATAAACTCATGATTAACGTATCCATTTCTACTGAATTACATGCAGGTACCAAAAATGCACGAAGGCCATATCCATCGGTAAAATCATAAGCTGTCCTCTAGACAACCCTACTAAAGCCGGAATTGATCTGATTACTGCATGGTATATTATCTGATTGAATTACTTTTGAACGCTTCTGCAGTTACTCCAATCAGATACGCACACCTAGCATCCAGCAAAGCGTCACAAATTTTGACTTCAGAAATGTTTTTAAATCATACAGAGGCTCAAGTACCTGAGCTACCCAAGCTGCATAAGGAAGTTTGTGAATCCATGTTCTTCTGTTAAATCTTATTAGCAGGTCGAAAACTTGGTTATGAGACTACTTGTATCGTTGAGTTGTTGCCACTGAAGTACTGAACTACTATTAAACTACCAGTTTATAGCTTAGCTAGCCTAGAATATATTCCTAGTGTTGTAACTTGTTAGGGGTATAAGCATTACATACTGTAATTATGTATATTTCGTAACTGTGTGAAATTTAGTGATGGCTCGTCCTAGTCATGACTTTGGAGATAGATATCATCGATGTTACCGAGTTACACTACACCCATGTAACAAAAAAGTGTTCATATATATATGTAAATTTGTAATTGTCAATTCGACACGAAATGTTTATATATGCAGGGATCTTAATATGAGTGAGAACAATGTCTCGATCCAATTTGAGGACTATGAAGTGTTACAAAGCATTAAGAAAGCTGTGCTCATTTTCTTTGCAAAAGGTAATTTATTTTTTCCTTATTATTGCTTAGCCTATTCCAGATTTCCTTTAGAGCCATTGTACTCTCTGATGAGGCCTTCTGGACTCGACGCTGCAAATCCGCTATGGCGTTGCTACCCTTCAACAACGTGACTTCGATCTTCTGATTTGTAGTCATCTATGGTTTTATATGATTTTCATTGATCTTTGTATGATGATCGAGTAGTAGATGCCATTACTGGACCTGTCACTCTTGCCATATCACCTTGATTCTTATTAATTAGGATATAGGCACATTTTTGTTAACTTGTATGCTTGATAAACAATTATGTATCTAATACCTTGCAAGTTGTCCGCGACGCCTTGTATCTAAGCATACACATAAGAAACATGGATTTTTAGTTTCTTGGTTAAAGAAATGCAAAACAAGTTTGATGAGAAATAAGAAATTAAACATATATGTCACTGTGCTTGTGTTTTGGATCTTTGATATATATAAGTTTGGTATGGTTGATTATAGTTATGCTACATACAATAGTGGAGGAGTCATTAATTAACTTTACACCACAAATATTCACTTTCTAATCTTCAAATTCTACAAAACTTATCTAAGAATTTCAAGATGAAAAGGAAAAAGGCTAAAAGAAATGTTGTCTAAGCTGCTTAAGGAATATGGGAATTAATTCGATGGAGGAGGGTGTGGTGGTTGAAGAATTTATTCAACTGATTTTGAAAGTCTATTATGTCTTACATTATATCTTTATTCATTGATACGACATCCGCTTTTTCCTCTGTTCTTTTTCTATCTTTTATTTAGTGTATCAATTTAAAACACGAAAAGGTGATAGTTAGTGTGAAGTAAGTCTCTCTTTTGACTTTTCGGACATTAAAAGAGAAAATTGTTTAGAGATAAGACCTTACAGATATTGGTATTATTACACTGTGAACCATATGGTGGGGTATGCATACTTTCTATTATTCTATTAAGTTTAGATAAGTTCAACACTTTAACGGTATGTTAATTAAATATATATCTATGTATTCCATTTACTTATGACCTAATTATGCTTCTATTAATCTTTTAAATGGAGGCCTTACCCCTAATCACTCAAAGAGTTAGGACAAAGAGAAAACAGTGTGAGTGTATAAGATACTTTTTCCTCAATAAAAATGGAAGTTATTTGTTGATTCCTGTCAACTTCAAATAGCTGGCATCCTATAATACATTTAACAAAGTAAATTTATTAGCCAACTAATACAATCTTGACCTAACCAAAAACTCCAAAATGAATAACAATTCTCTAATCCCTGGACCACCTAAATTACACCAGATAATTGTCTTGTTGAAGAACTTTGGCAGTATAAGCTGCAAGTATTTTTAACTTAATTCTGGAGATTGATTTGAGCACCAGTTGTAGAGAAAAGGTACAGTAATCCCTGAGATTCGTATAATTCTGCGCATCACAACCATCTAATAATACAGCACCAGTCATTTTTCTTATTCCAAAAGTTTCAGAGAACTTCGTCGAAATTTACTGGTAGGGACTTTGGGGGGTGGGGGGGGGGGGGTGGCGGTGTTGGTGTTGGTGTTTGGGGGCTGTATAAAAAGTCGAAAATTTTCAGCTCCAAAGCTCAAATATGACACTTCAACTTCAAAGGTTTAATAATTTACACAAAATCAACTACAAGTTACATTGTTATAAATGTGTATAATGATGATAATACTATTTACAAAACAGGTGGGCATGCAAGAATGATGCAGTATTAAAGTGCCCCTAATTTCTAAATGCGCTTCTGCCCTACTTAGAACTACCTGGATAATCCAATTCTGATGGAATTCTTTGTTCGCATTCATTGTTTTCCTGCTTATTGAACTCTGTTTCTAAGTCGAGCCCAAACCCAGCAGCGGAGCCATATAGATTCCGATCCCACTGGTCGAGGAGAGCCTTCTTCGGACTATTCTCTAAAGGAACTGAGAGAGTATCGATGTTGCTTGATGAATAATCCAATTTCTGCTTCTTCCGAGGAGATGTGGGGCCTGGTGAGGCTTCCCTACCTGGCTGAGAATCTGCCAATTTTTCTCTTTCCTCTTCTTGATTGTTGGATGATGGCAGCGTTTCAGAAGCTCTTAGGACACTACCCAGCTTCTGCTGCTCCTCTATGATCTTCTGCAGATACTTCCCCTGCGCTTCAATTCTCATTTGCAGCTGCCTTTGCACCTTCAAGAAAAAAACAGTTACTGAGGATATACATCTCAGAGAATATATGTTTAAATCACTGATTTTAGAAGCATAAATTACTAGATCTGTGCCCATAAGATGGTATCCTATATATGGTTATATAATCAGAAACGTGAACCACATAACACTAGGTCAAATTCTTGTTTGAAAATGAAATATATTACTCCCTCACAGGATCGCAGGCCATATTTCTATTTTAGCCTGTCCTTAGTAGCCACTTTCATAATTACATTACATCTTGAGCTCTAACATGTCCACACTCCCCCCCCCCCCCCCAACACACACACACACACACCGCCCTTCTCTTTTTATCTGGAAAAGACAATTTATCATCGAATTCCATAGTAATGTGGAGATGAAATTTTATAAACTGTGAAAGATGGTTATGGTATTTTAAAAATATCCTAATAAATGACCTTGAATTAAACGTGGCATACTATAAAAGTATAAAGGGTCAGAGTGACTACTAAGTAGGAGCAAGTTCTTAAGAAATGCTCAAAATTAAGTCCTTTCCATCAATAAAAAAAAGAATTGATTCATAAATGTTAACCTCAAGCTGCTCATGAAGACGTTTCTGAACCTCCATTTGCATTTTAAGTGCCTCATTAATCTGTAATCCCCTGAAAAGCAGTAGATATAGGAGTGTAAATAGTAGTATCAACGCCCATGTCGTGTGCAGCTCATGTAATAGCAGGAGGGTCAGAAAATTGCATGTGAAATTGTGAAGATTGGATAAAGCTAGAAGACACTCACTGGGAAGAATCTGCGTTTGCTAAACCATCCAAAGAAACTTTCTTTTCATCCTTGGAACCTATAAAATCAAGAGAAAAGTCAACATTAATTACACAATAAATAAAGAAGATATAACAAAATCAGAGTATACAGGCAGGCACCTGTACCATCTCTGGGTGACTCCGGTAGATACTTAGCAAGGCGATACTTCTGCAGAAAAGAAAATAATACATTCAACTGGGTTGAGCATCATGAATGATAATTTGAAACACTGATTATATCTTTACTAGAGAATAAACCAATTACTGTGAAAGTATGAGCATATGGAATAAACTGAGGATGGACCTGTAAATGACTTTTCACATGGTAGATGGTAAGTCCGGGTACACCCATCACTCTTAGAACTCCTTTAGGGGTTGCCCCTGCAAAACAGAAATGGTAATGAATTTTCTCATATTTTCAACAGATAAACTAATAAATAACAAGGTTTTCTTGGCAAAAACACAATCGAGTAAGATTGTAAGAGTCACATTTCTAACAATAATATGCAAGTGTATCCACTCCAAGAGCATCTCAGAAAAGATTTTTAAGAAAAGAAATGCATCCTCCAAAAAATCCATAACTAGTATGGGGCCCTTTGCATTAACGAGCAATAGTAAAAAGACTCTTTTTGGAATATCACTTTATTTGAGTCAAGCATGTAGCATCAGTAAGGCATTCAAAAATATCAACTACACTGATAGAAATAAATGTTTTTCAGCACTTATCAAAAATAAAAAACCTTAACTGAACATATTAGCGTCAAATGAATATGATACTAAATGTCTATTTCTGAAAATTCATTGTCCTCCAGGGCTTCGCTTATAGAAGAATAAATGTAATACTAATCTGTAGTGACAGCAACAAAAATAATATATATAATAAAAATCATGTCCAGATCAAGGACCTAGTAAATTATTACTATTATACAATTCCTTACAGTTTCAGATACATTCGGAAGTCTAAATCTTCCTAATATGCAAGCCTCTACCAGCATATCATATTTATATTTTTGAAGTAGATACGTGTCAGCAATGTGCTACAAATAATAAAATTAAAAAAATTAATTTTTTTTTTAAAAAAAAAAAAAGAGAGATAAATATAAAAGAATAGAAGGAGATCTCTGATATGATATGTTCATCAACAATAGAAGAGACCATATCAAGAAGCTGCAAAAGCAGAGAAAAGGGGAAAGGCCGGAAAAACATGTGGCAGATAAAGGGAAAAAAGAGAGGCAAAAATTACTAAGCTACAATCTGACCTGTGTACTCATCAAGACTACACTATACTCTACTGAGTGTCTTGTTTGTATGAAAACTCATGTTTTAATAATGGGCTTCAGTGGTAGAAAGAACGAGAAATGCATGTGTAAGACTTCAGTGCAAAATGGTATTGAAGTGGAAGAGGAGAAAAAGTGAGATTCTAAATAAGTTATCAGATCCTTCCTGAATCAGTCCAAAGCTGGTTCACAGCTAGCCTGATTCTTACAACGTTCAATCTCGGCTAGGTCTTGTCATATGGCTACCAAACAAGGTAAAGATTAATGCTGGTTTCCTAGCGACTAGAAGGAGGTACACCCCATAACGTATACAACTAATTGGGGAAAAAGGCGGAGAGAATGGAGTCCATATCTTCCTGAAAGACTCCAATCAAAACACAAGCCACCATCCCAAAACATAATTTCAAAATGACATGAGCTAAGGTGGCAGGAAAAAAAATTTCAAGCCCTTGTAAAATCTAAGCAAAATCAAAGGCAAGTTGTATTCCAAGGCCAAACACAGCAAGCAAAAAAGACTTATTTAATGCAATTTTGTAACTGTAGCACCAAAAAAAAACCTTTTTTTCCTTTGACAAGGATCCTCACCCAAAGCCTTCAATTTAAGTAGTTAAGTACACAGCTTCGTAGGAGGCCTTAGTTAAGTTCATCTAGGTTAACTAGTGACAAGCAGCAACCATAAAAACTGATTTGCATGGAATGAAACTTTAGTAAACTACTATTGTCCACAGGACCATGGATTAACATTGACTTAACAACACATTTCATTGCTCAAAAGAAAATACCCACTATCTGGTCCACCAAGTTGCGTGATGGCATCTACAAAACGGTTGTGAAGATCTTCAGTCCATCTTAGCCGTTGTTTCCCACTTCCCCCAGGAGGTGTTGAGCTCTTCATGGAAGAATTTCCCATGGCTCCAGCATTTGCAACTGGCTCACTCCCTTGTGTTTTATGTGGCACCAAGCTCACTGTCGAGAATTTTTTAGCGTGGTACATGTTGAATAGCCTGCAATTTCCAGGCAGAAACAAAAAAGGAATCAGCATTAAACATTCTGATACTTAACTGTATTATACGAAGTAAGATCCTTTTAACCCATTACCATAAATTAACAAGTACATAGTTCAGATTCCTTCAAAAACCGAGACACACTAGTCTGTAAGAGACTTAACATTTCAGTGTAAGTTAAGAAGAATAAGTTCTGCCGGATTTTCAGAATCACACCCATGATTTTTGCAACATCTAACCACACCTTATATGGTACTCTCCAACTAGCTACAACATTCATCACCCATCAAAAACAAAGGAAACACTGAGCAGCTATAATGATTGAAGCCTCAAATTCCAGCTCCCTATTCACATTCACTAAGAAGCCGCAACAGTCAACCTAAATAACCAATCACCGAAACCAATGAAAGTATTCCCTATAATGTTCTTATATAGCAGCTCAAACATGTTCTTGAAATAATGAAATATCATCTCATCTTCCCAAAAAATACAAAGTAATTCACTCTTAAGTGTATGATCATCATCTAACATTAAAACATGAAGAAGAAGCAACTATAAAAGCTTCAAATCCTTTAACTGTCAATTGTATCACCAACATAATAATTATACTAACTTTCATCAGCATGACCTAATTTGAACACAAATCAATACCATTTTGTAATTCTAACACACACATCAAATATTGCAACACAAAAAATACACCTCAGATTTAAATTCAGCATATATTCCACACTATTACACTTCCAACAAGATCTAATTAGGGTAAAAGATAAAATTTAACCATTAAAATATTAACAAAAAATTTACCAGAAAGAAGAACGAAGCTTTGCATCAAATTTAGGCACCTTTTCTCAAAAATTCACAAATCTGAAACTGGATTTCTGGGAAAATTAGACAGTTACTATCATGAAGTCACCCTTTAAACCCAGGAACTTCAATTAAACCCAGAAATTGATGATATCAGAGGAGTCAAAATCTGGACTGTTGACAAACAAATATTAAAAAAAGAGTGAGAAATTCAAGAACCCCAGTTCAGAAAATTATGATTAATTCAAAAGGGCAGCTTCAGATTTTGCAAACTTCAGCTCGATTAATATTGAAAGCCAAAAGGGGTAAAAATTATGAAAAATAGGGGGAAATTCAAATGAATAAATGGGCAGAAACAAAAGAGGAGATTGGCGTTGAGAAATTTGTGGCAGAGGGGTTTTTTTTTTTTTTTTTTTGGTTTTTGCAGAAATTTGGATTTTATTTCTGAGTAATTTTGCTGAGATTTTGAGGGAAGAGAGAGAAAGAGAAAGGGGGGACAGAGAGAGAAAAAAGGGGAAATCTGGGATTGAATCAACCCCCTATAGCGTGGGAAAGACGACGGTCGACGGCCATTTACACGTTTCAATCGGAATAGAATTTTTTATATAAAAATAAATAAATACTTTAATTAATTTCTTCCATTTTTTGAAAGAATTTCTTCCATTTTCGTACTTAGGTTTAATTTTTATGATATACTTCGTACTTACTCTACTCTCTACTCTCTAGTCTTCCTTCAAATAAAATAAATAAAAAAAAAAACTCTACTCTCTAGTCTCCACTTAAGTTCTAAGTTTGATGGTGTGAGTGAAAATTTGTTTTCTAATATCCGATTTTGAGTTGGGATTGAATTTTCAAGTGTTCAATCTAAAATAAACAAAGTATTATGAATCAGAGATTATGAAATTTTGGAATTTTGAGCTTGGACGAATCTTTTATGATTCTGTATATGATTGCAGGCATCATATTTTGTTAGGTATTGTAGACAATGTATATAAAATAATAGTAAGATTCACTCAAGATTATGGTTATTGATGGAAATTAAGATCACTTTACACATATGGCTTTTTGTTTATTATACTTATTACATCTATCAATTGAGTTACAAAGGTTTAAACAAAATAATATTCTTGAATTGTTAATGTATTAACTCTAATGGCTACTACCGCACAACCCTTAAGACGTTAGAGAGGAAAAAAATGATCCCAACATTGTTGAGACCTTTTCCAAAGGGACAAACATAACATTTGTTTCGGGGTTTTCTGTGTCCCGCGGGAGAGTTACAATTCCAAGACTGGATTCCGGGCACCTATACCAGCAAAACAACGGAGACTCCGGTTGGTTGGAGTTCCGCCTCCGACGATCAAGTTATATGGAGTATGTAAAAAGCGCGGAAAGTAAAGTATCTTATCGGATCCCGAGATCAGGAGTAATATCTGCAATTAATAATTGCTCTGTTTTTGTGGGAATATTTTTGTATATGTGTCTCCAGGTGGGAACATCTCCCTATTTATAGGGTCTTGGGATGCGTGCCGCCATCCTAGGTTACTGAAACCTAGGAATAGTGGGCTATTCCGGGAGCTGCGCCTTGAAGGCCGCCTTTTTCCCAATGATTGGGGATGCCACGTGTCAGCAGAGAATTGGTTCATTTTGAACCTCTCTTAAGGTGACACGTGTCACCATTTTATTGGACCACGTGGCCTTGGGTAATTTTACCCAAAACAACATTCACTCATTTTTCTAAACTTATCTAAACTTATTTGAAATTATTTGAAATTACATTAACGTGTTTAGTCTAAACTAATGAGTGTTTATTTATATTGTCTAAATTTGATCCAAAATAAGTTGATATAAGTTGGCAAGGACACATCCTATGACTCATTTGAAACGATTGTAACCTTCTTTAAAAAAGAAATAATAAATACATAATTTTATCATTGGACATTAATTTCTGACTTAGAAATTTGTGCACATAATGTAATTATGTCAATTGTAAATATCTCAAATTTTGTGTGCATAAATATAGCTAGTTTAGATACCCATTAATGGATGTGAATTTAGAGCACCCCCTCCCCACTTTGTTTTCTTTTCTCCTTTCCCTATCAATTGAATCAAAATAATTGACACATCTTTGCACATTACATGTCTCAACTATAACTTTTGTCCTAACTAGTGCAATTTCAATTTTCACAACCATTAATTCAAGTACCCCCTTATTCAGTTGCAGCAATACCTTAAACATCATGTGGTTAAATAATTAATAGATGGGTTTATAATTTTTTTCATGTTGCATGAATGAGATGGCCTCATAATGTGCTCATAAAAGTAGGTACATGAAAGTATGAAACATGCCTATATGAGAGAATCTAATGCACTACAATCATAACATCATGAGCACATAATGTGCCTTTTCTTCCAAATTCCTTTGCAGAATTATCTGGAGAGTGCACCAACTCAAGAAGACGAATTTCACATGCCATGACAAAGCTCACGGGCTCCTTTACGCCTGAAACCAGTCCGCGGTCCTCCATCCATTGTATAAAATGGTTATGCAGTCTAGCAATGACGCTTGTGAGTTGGACTCGGATACCATGAAAATTGTATTGACTAATGCAAGCAGAAGAAAGGAAACACAAGTCTTGTTATGTGGACACTAATTCATCTGATGGAGGACCCACGAAGTCACATAATCTGCAATGGCCATGCTTGCAGTCACACCAGGTGATTCAATGCCAAAGAGGTTGACAAGTCCAGATACTCCATGAACATCTTGCCCCTGTTTGACACAAATGATAGCAATAAGGAATTTTTGAAATTCACAGAAACCATAACCTATGTGGTAAGTGTAGACTGACCTGAATTACAAAATCAGAAGGGGTCATTCCTGGACCAGAGAGTTTTGGCCGTATCCCTGCATAACCGGGTTCTAGGGATCCTTCTTTCAGTAGAGGATAGTACTTCCTTATCTCTGGATAAAAAATTTCACTGCGATCAGGGCGTACAGAGTAATCAAACCTGGAAGAGAGATGATCATTAATAATATCAAATCTAAACACCATTAATTATCTCCTTCACTTATAAAGACAATTAAAACAAAACAATAAACACCACCTAGTTTACTTCCCACCAAAAGGAGGGTTTTGGGAGTCCACATGTATGCAACCCCACCTTTAACCAGTCTAAACCGATGGATTAATAGTTATTACATAAATCAGATCATTCGAATGATGCTAGTAAGTAGTGAAGTGGGCGCAACTATTTCAAAATTTAATTAAACAATTTAAGCATCTTCACCAAAGGCAAGACCCTTACTGGGGTTTTACTGTTGAACCCTTTTTTTCAAGAGCATTCAGCATATACAGTGAACGAATTTAAAAATTCTTATGCATGAAAAACAGATTAAATGATATGTCACAAGGCTTGTAGAACATGATCAGGACCAAGCAAACTAGAAGTTACAGTTACTGCATACAACTTACCACCGACTTGGATCAGTAAAGGATAATTTGACCAGTTTCAGAAGTTCAAGAATAAGTTGCAAAATTATACTCCCTCCGTCCCTTATTGATAGTCCCTTATGGCCAATTTTAAGTTCCAAATGATAGTCCCATTTGCTTTTTTCCAAGTACCATTAATATTAAATTTTTGCCAAAATTCCCTCCCATTTGCAACAATATTTGTGTAAATTTAACTTTCCCATGTAAATTTTGCTTTTCCATGTACTTTTATTACTTTCTTTCTCTACTTTTTTGCATACCCAATGTAAATTTACCTTTTCAATGTAAATTTACCTTTTCAATGTACATTTACTACTTCTTATTTATGTTTATTAATTCCCATGAAAATTGCCCATAAGGGACTATCATTAAAGGACGGAGGGAGTAAATTTGAATAGGGTGCGAAGATCCAAGGGCTTCTCTAAGCTGATCGAAAATAATAACATAAAATTGAAGATATAGAAACATAATACAGGAGCAGCTCATTCTAGGGGCAATAAATATTACCTGTTTGAAAAGCTTGCAATATCAGAAACACCACTAATCCATTCAACATCAGGCCCAAATTTCACCTGGCCCTCTAAGTCTAGTGTCACATGAACTCCTAATCCACCATCTTCTGGAATTGGATATATCAGATGCCTAAAAGGGGACCCCTTAGTTTTTGATAGAGAAAAATAGTGACCACGAGCATAATAAGCAGTAGGAAGGTAAGAACTATCAAGGCCCATCAGTCTCTTAGCAAGGGGAACAGCGGCCAAGCCAGCTGAATTGATTACAACTTCAGGAAGAAGCCTAAGTTCAGCTTGTAATCTATCCCCCTCATTCCAGTTGTCTAAATGCTGGCTTCCCGTCACAAAAAGTTCAACTTGGTTGCCTTTTATGTTGCCTCCAAGAACAGCAGTATTGTAGGAAAATATTGCTCCATAATTTTCAGCTTCTCCCTGAACTCATTTCCCAGCAACATCCTGTAAATTTCCAATCATTACTTCGAAGACAAACAGAGCATAGCAAATTTTCGAGCTCTGTGAATGCCATTTAACAAGGAAATTTAAGCACATACCACTAAAGAAAGCATCAGAGAATGGGTATCAACAATTCCCGAAACAGGTGAAAACAAGGCTTTTGCACATTGCAGTTCTGGTTCCATCTTCATAGCTTCAGATGCCTCCATCAATCTCAGACCATTAACCCCATTTTCAGTTCCACGGACCAATAGCTCATTTAATTTTGAAACCTCTGATTCTCGAGTAGCAACAATAAGCTTACCTATCTGCTTGTGAGGGACATCATGCTCTGAACAATACTTATACACCATATCTCTTCCTTTGACACAAAATTTTGCCTGCGAAATGTACATTGAAATTCTTCTGAACCTCAGAAAATAGCTAGACTGTAAATTTTTCATATTCCAAAAATGAAGGTTTAACAGAACGATTTGAGTAAATATACAAACCCACTATGCTATATAGTCTTATAGATCTTACACTATGGCTTATGGGACATCAAAATTTTATCTGATTAATTCGTTAAAGGGTGAGGCCGTGAGGGGTCCAAGCATTATCAAATTTTTCCAAAGGCAGAAACGGATTTGCATCCCTGATCGATAACTCATGAACAGGGTTCATACTTCATAGGATATGTGTCACAATTGTTATTTGTTTCATCAGTTCAATTCTAATTTTAGCCAATCCTGTAAATCTATAATCCAAAATTCTGAACATGGGTTGGGAGGGAAAAGACGTTATGACAGGTGGATCAAATAATACTGAACCCAACAAATACAATTTCACATATACTAAGCAATCCTCAGTTCCTGATCTACTACATAAAAGCTCAACCTAAAGTACAAACCACTCCAATACCATCACCACCACCCCAACACCATCACACCCGCCACCATTCTCCATCAAGAGCCATACTTCCAACTCTTGGTAATAAACTTTGTTAACCACATAGAACCACCACAATCATAAACCACCATAGCTATCCAGATTACCATGGGCCTCGGAGGTAGCACCACAGTCATCCTCCCTGGACTGGACAATTTCAAGTTTCATGAAGATGAACTTACACATCCTCTACTATCTAATGCTACTCTACTCTATTAAATCAACAGGTCCATCTTATGCAATTGAAGTTGATAGAAGCCAGAGGCCATTTACATTCAAGTATGCCAACACCTACATTTAGATCCTACACTCGAAAGCACGACAACATTGAATTAACAAGTCAATACAAATAACTACACTAGTATATAACTGCAAATTTGTCAAGAAATACTTCAGTGTAACATTGAATCAACATAACCCATTAATTAAAACTTCATATTATATCAACCCATTTCAAGTCAAGAAATACTTCTTATAACATTAAATCAACACAACCCAATAATTAAAATTTCATGTAATATCAAATCAACCCATTTCAAGAAAAATTGCAAAAAGTATAGACCTTGAGAGAATTAGGAGGATAGTATATGCCAGCATGTATGACTTCACTGTTGCGAGAACTGGTGACTGTACCAAATGTGGGACCAGAATCAATCACCAAAACTTCTCTTCCTTTGAATGCTAATTCTCTTGCAATTGCAATCCCTACAATTCCAGCTCCAATTACAACGCAATCCACCTTCTCCTTTGCAGCAGAGCTTGAATCCCAGTTGCAAATTGAACTGCTGAAGCTTTTTGTAGATGATTCTAGAATTGGGTTTTGGATTTTCAGGGTTTTTTTCAAGGAATTTAGGAAAATAGTTGTTAACGATTTGCGCATCATCTTGTTATTTGATTTTTCTGGGGTTGATATCTGGATTATGCAATGATAACTGATTGGTGGAGGTATTAGTATTATTACCCTTTTTGTGAATTTCTTGTGAATGGTTTAGAGCCCAAAAATTTCTTATGTAAAAGAGCTGGTCATGATCAGGTCAAGCCGGGTTAGTACTTTAGGGGACGGTTTTGCAACTCGAAATCTTATGAAAAAATTTCGGGTTAAATTATCAATTCATAGGATAAAATGAGGTAAAATAGGCTATTTAATTGAGTTATAAACCTCGGCATGCCCAGGCTGAACTCCTTGGCCTAAGACCAGCCCAACATCGGTGCAAATTGGGTTTAGACCGGCTCTGAGGCGTAAACATGCATGGCCTCCTAATTAGTTTTGGTGGTATATCAATGTTTATGGTAATGCCTTTCAGAATATTGTGTGTGGGTGCATCTTTGGTGTTTATGAGAAGAACATTCTCGAGTTTGTAAGGAAAATAGATTTTTCAAGGGAGCTCTGTATTTGTTTCCTATTAGTTAGATAAAGTAGATGTTACAGTATGCTCAATTCTTAGCAGTAAACAATTCTTGGTGAATTTTCATGATTCTGATACGCAAATTGTGCAACAACCAAATAGTGGACATTTTATGTATACCGTGTGCAAGATTGAAATAAATCAAGTCATCTGTTCAGTTCTAAAGTAGCACAGCTACAATCCTTCCAATACACGAAAGTAAAACCCTTTTCCGAGGAGCTTGTCATTACATACATGATGAATTACATTCGTTTATTCAAGGCAACATCATTCATTTCTATCACTTTGATGCCTCGATTAAGGGTGTTAATCATATAAATGGCATGAAAATAGGCATACAAATTAATTTTATTTTTTTGAAATGAACACAAAAGGATTTGGATTTACTTAACAAACACTGATGTAAAAATAAATTATACTACTACAAGTTAGCTGCTCTGTCCTCTTCCTTTCATGACATGCTTCCTCAGACCGGGAATATGGATACTGCATATGTAATCCGTCCAATTTATGCTCCCAACGTCAAAGTAGAACGTCCTACTCTCCTCATCCGACATGCTCTCCATCAATGAACTTGTACTGCTGTTATCAAACCTGCATTTTGCACAACAGAAGTTTTACATGTTGGAAAATGTTCTTATATGTTCCTAAATACATGTTTTATATCCAGTCAATCTCTCAGCGTGTTTGGGAAAAAGAAATGAAAAATGGAATTGCAACTACATGCTATCTTCTTGAGTAGGGAATTCAAAATTTAAGAATGATGCCTCGTGAATATTACTGGTTTAAGTAGAGTCATCCTTAAAAATTAAAAATAAAAAATAAAAAAGGTGAGCTTCGAAAACATTGACAACTTTGCATAATTTCTGAGACCTAAATTTTTTTGGACTCACCTTCCACCATAAAAGCTGTATGGTTCATATACACTGGCGAGGTGTTTAGCTTGCTCCACAGCTTTCCTACATAAATTTTCAATTTTCTTTGACTGTTTTCCATTAGGTGATGGCATCATAGACGAACTAATGTAACGTACTGTCTCTCTCCATATATGAGACGAGAAATCATCCATTGATCCATAGAACTTAAAGGGCTCGACTTGAATTGGTCTTCCTTGTGTGTCTAGGCATGGCCATCTCGTGAAGTATTGGTGAAGCAAGTCCCCTAAATCTCCATAAACCAATGGGTTTTCAACTGATGAAGCTACTTGATATACACTTATTTCTGGTTTCCCAGCCGTTCCATGCTTTGCAATAGCTGCTAATGTAGCATTAACAACCATATCAGCTGGAACCTGTAAAACAAATTAAAGGGAAAAAATTGGTGTTACTACTCATATTGCGAAATATGTTTGTAATGGAAGACACTAAAATAGTATAGAGTGGCTGCATTTCACTAGTAACAGAGACCTTTAATATAAAAGAAGCTTAAAAAAAAAAAAAAAAAAAAAAAAAAAAAAAAAAAAAAAAAAACAGCACACACTATTTTAAGATATATCATAAGATGGGAGTACATCCCTGATATCTTGTGACCTATTTGTGGGAGTGGGCTGACTTTATTTTAAGGAAAGCCTTTTGACTTATATTAAGGTTAACTTTTAACGTCTCCCAATAAGTTAACAGGAGATCGTCTCACCTAAGATTCACTCGTATCGTTATTCAAGTCAAAAGTTCATGCCAGGAAAAAATATCTGACAAACTTAGGTGCGCTAGCTTAAGAAAAGGAATCTGTTTGAAATGCTAAAGTTAGCATATGTGAGAATACCCTAGCGGCCTGTTTAACACTGCCCTGTTTTCCAGAGGGTTCTAGTGCCCTTCTGAATGTAGGTCTTTGAAGGATTTAACTATTTTGAATTGAATAAAATTCTTAACATGGCATTATGCTGATTAATGGACTGCATCATATACAATTCATAAAAGTTGTGCTTCACATCATATTAGGCTTAAAATAGGCTGACTTTGCAGATTAACTGTGTTGACTTCTTTAGTTCTTTTCATGAAGAGTAAATTAGCTAAGATGCATGACTAAAAGCCAGAGGATGATAGGTAAAGCTTCTTACAACATCAATCACCCCAAACGGGTCAACTGGGAAACCAGACAGCAATCCTTTTCCATAGTATGTAACTACTGGATCCATCATCCTGAATAGAGATTAAAATTTTCATGAAGAAATATATATGAGATAACGGGAGATGCTAATCTGAAACCTTGTACAAACTAAGGCTTATGACATAGCAAGATTATACCTATTGCCTTCAATCCATCCAGGGAATGGATCTTGATAAGTGCTTTCGATGACACTAGGTCGAAGGATGACCACTGGTACATCTCCTCTCGTACTGCCAAGCAGCATCTCTCCCATAGCCTTGGTGAACACATAAGTATCTTGCCAGCCGTATTTTCTTGCCCTGTAGTTAATTAAAAATAATACATAAATTATACCTACTCAGATCTATATCTATACATGATATATTCATTATAGTTCAATTCTATAAAGTATTAACCAAGTCGAGATTTCTTACCTCTCTAGGCCTAACTCTTTCATCTTCTGGGATACTTTATTCTCTTCAAAACCTTCTGCTGATGTAAAAGCTAGGTTTAGCTCACCCTCAACATCCAAAAGAGGCATTGGACAAGGTAGACTCCCATTTACAATGTTTTCCTCCGTGATGCTTTCTCCTTTCCTAAATGGCCTCTCCATAATTCTCCCTTGCCTTTGTCCATTCACATAAGCTGCATTTTAGATAATTATCATAAATCTTATTCTTCCTCGATCATTGGCTTTATGTGTGTATTGACAATATACACATTGAAGTTGAGATGCAAAGTCTTACCAGTCGAAACTTGCAGGAAGAGTTTAAGCTTCCTGCACTTTTTGGCAAAGGCCATTACCCGGCCAGGTCCTCGTGTGTTGATATCAACTGCAACATCATACCTGGATTGACAAGAAAATCTCAGTACCCACAACATGATAATTTATGCAAGTTGCAAAAAGGATAAATAAGGGAATTCAAAATAAATAAAACAAAAATTCGGAATAAGATGTACTTCACCTTTCATGGAAATTGGTATTAGCAGCAGAATTCACTATAACATCTACATCTTCAGCAATCATGCTCGTCGAAGCCTCATCTAACCCAAGATTAGATTCACAAATATTACCAACCACCGGGACAAGCTTGCTAAGCATGAAGGTTTCATATGACTTCCCATGGATTTGTTGGAGACACTTGAAAATCTCTGTATTCATGATCTTATAACAATACCAAAATCCTTATTAAGCATAATCTAAACAAAAAGCATGCACATTGAAATATGTTCACTGGATAAAGAAAATACCTCATTTTTTAATCTCTTTGATGCAACTTCCTTGTTCTTTGCCTTGATTAGGACATAAATCTTACCCACATCAGGCACTGTCCTTAGGATCTTTTCTATAAGAACTGCATGCAAAGTTACAAAGCCCGGTAAGAAAAGTGAGCACAGTGGTGTGTCAAAGAGCCTGTCTTCTAGCTTAATAGTTTTAAAGGACTATAAGTAAAATATATATATATATATTAGGAGCACCTTTAGCTAAAAACCCAGTTGCACCAGTGACAAAGAAAGTCTTCCCCCTGAGGAACTTGACAATCCCAATCCCCTCCTGGACTTGAGCTAACGTACTCGATGCCCCATTATAAGGTGCCAGGTCCTTAGCCACAAGATCAGCTGAATTCTTCCCATTTGGGTTCAATACCAAGCTGCTGCTTGGATCCATTATGGCTGCCCCATGACCTGTGTTTTTCGACGTGGATCTCTCGGACAAAATAGGTGTGAACTTGTCACTCTTTGTCACGTTGCTTCCACTTTGGCAATGCACATAACATTTTTTCCTGGTCTTTGCCGAAATTCTTTGATGCTTATGGGACATTTCTAGCCCTTTAAGATAAATGGTGAACGAATTCCGGAGCAAAGCCCCCATCATCAACAGGGGGGAATGAATAAAGTTAGAAGGAGAAAAGGTAAACAAACCAAGGAAGTTAGGGTAGCGGGGAAAAAGTTGGTAGGTAAATAAGAAGTGGGTTTAAAACCTTAGCTAATCACATCCTGAACTGAAAAACCAAAAAAAATAAGAAAACAAATGCATAATGGCAAGTAAACAAACTAATGTCCATAAAAATTAGAAATGGTTTAGATGTGACAAAAAGGGAATGAAGAAATTGAAACATATAAATGTGAAGAGGATGAAGGTTAGGTAATTTGCTATTAGATTAGATTCACTCTTATCACAAAGGGGCTCTCTTTTTGCCTCCCTCACACATTTTCCACCAATGGCTAAAATGGCGGAACTTTGTATTTTATAGTATTTCCTAACCCGTCGATCATTACACTTTTGCACATAAACTATGCAGGTTTTATAAGGAGAAGAAAGGTTGTGGAATGTGAAAGCCAAGAAAATAGAAATTTTCAATTAATTGTTGACCAATTGAACTTGTGTTTCAAAAGAATGCTCTTCATTTCTTCCTCAAAATCCGTCAATCTTTAGCTTAAATGTAATAAGTTCGGGTTGTTTAACTAGAAGACAACAATATCTTATGCACCCAAATATCATTACCACATAATTTTACCATTCTTGTGATCTCAGCCTCAAACGTTAGTAAGAATGTGATACATTTATCAAATTCACTACTTTTTGTATAAGATCATCATATCATAGTTTTGAGTTATTTTTAAGGTACTCGGTCTATTTAATCAGCCGAAAAATAGATAGTATTCAAAATATAAAGTTGGAATTTGGATTACTGATGTAGAAATCAACAGTTGTGTTCATACAAATTCGCTTTTCTGACATAATTTCATAATTTTTTTTTTTAACAAGCAAGGGCAATTATGAATAACGTAAACCATGCTAGAATTATATACAATAACTAAGCAGCCCAAGATCTTAAGACTTCGATCAAATCTTGTCTACATCATTGCGCCTTTGTGGCTTTTTGTTGCCACACACAAAGAAAACTAAGCACTTAAGCAGCCTATTCCTATTTATATAAATCAACAAACCCATCTTCTGAAATTAACCCATATTTCCAAATAATCTACCCACTAAAAAAGAATTTAAATTTACAGTAACAAGATTAAGGATACTCTTAATCATAGTTCAACCAATAATATTTCCAGTTTGAACAGGTAATCTAAAACAATCATGGTTTAATGTCCAAATTTTTCATCAATTTTTATGTACATACCAACAAATTCAAAACTCTCTTTAATATGTTGTAGTAGATTTACAAACAATCTTGTGAAATTGCAAGTAAAACATTAGAATTGGAGCAGAAATAAGGAAGAAATGTTACCATTTGCATGGATGTAGAACAAGAATTTGCAGTAAATGTTGGCGGCATTGCTGAAAACCAATAGATAAAATAACTGGGTTTTGGTTAATCTTGATTGTTTCCGGCGAAAAATACTTCGGAATGATCATCCAGTTTCCCTCCGATGATGTATTGTTTGCCAATAATTTTACTTTTAAATTTTAAGGTGGGTTACTGGTTACTAAAACTTGCAATTCGGGTAAACGGGTAGTGTTAGCTAATTTGTGCGTTGGTCTCGTGTTCAATTCAGATTGTTACACCCTTCCCATAATACTTGACGCACTCTTCATTTTCGTCCGTCCCAAAATACTTGACACGTTACTTAAATATCAAATGAGATCATTAATATAAAAATATTTTTCTATACTATATTTGGGACCACAAACCCCAATACCCAATTAAATCCTACATTTTCTCTCTCCTCACTACCCCCACCTCCCACACTTTTTGTTTTCTTAAAATATAAAAATACAAAAGAGAATTTTTTATACAATAAACAAATATTTTAAATGAATTCACTTGTAGTTTTCTTAAACTACGTGTCCACTCCAATGTTCAAGTATTATGAGACGGAGGGAGTATTAAATTAGCAAAGCGCTAAACCTAAAGATGGCTCTAGGCCGTGCCGGGTCGTGCCTCGTGTTAGGCCCACGTGCTTTGAAGTTATTTAGGCCCGGCCCATGACTTGGCCCACGAGTTTCATACCGTGCCATGTCGGACCGAGGTTTCAAAAGGTTGGCCCGTGCACGGCCCAGGCCCACATGCCATCGTGCCGAGCTTGCATGCCTAAGCAAAATTGCATTAATTTTAGCATGCTTTGTCGCGCCGGGTCCGGTCGTGCCGTGCCTTATCGTGCTTCTCCCAAATAAAGGTGGCCCAAGCCGACCCACGACCCACACGCATAGTGTCGTGCCGTGCTTTTTTCGTACATGTGTCGTGCCGTGCTTTTTTCAAGCTGAGTCGTGCCAGGCATCGGGCACGACCCGGCCCAGTGCCATCTTTAGCTAAACCTTACATACGTAGTAGAAAAATAAAAGTAAGCTAATCATGAAATATGAATAAACTTACCTATTCGATTGGATTATGTTTGGGCTAATTTTGCACTCATGTGGTGTTGAAATTGAGGCTTTTTTTAAGAAAAGAAATGGGAACTTTCTCATTAACTCGAATTGGTGTTTTCTTTTGTGTTAAAAACTTTAGTGTTACCGTAGTAATGAGTATATATTAGAGAATATAATTTCCAAACACTACATAAGAGTTTTCTAAAAAAATTTAAAAAGTAGGGATAGTAAATACGGAGATTGCTCACAAAAGTAAATTGGATCTTCCTAAAATAACCACTAGTCAAAACTAGAAAAGAATTTATTAATTACCATTGAAAATGATTCAACATATGATAATCATTTTAATGAGAGAAAATTTTTTACCACTTTATTTTCTTTTGAAAAGCAAGTAATGTTTGTAACTTTGTATTGATAGCAAAATCTTTACAAGCTATGCGCAAAGGAAGAAAAGGAAAACTCTATAGCAACATACAACCTATACAAGGGTTAAAAATTTATACAACTGTATTATTCCAAATTTCCAATAGCTATCGGAAGCCTGAACAGAAATTAACATAACTCGAATCAGGAACTTTGAATCTCCTCTTCATCTGCAGCTTAACATGAAGTTTAGAAGAACAGCAGAAGTTTAGCAGTGAAGATAAGATTCTTAACCACTTGAAATCAGTCATGCCTCTCTGACTATAGTAGCACTAGCACCCAATATAAAGTGCTCATCACTACTGTAAAGTCGCGAACTGCAAACAAGACACCATCAAAATCCTAACATCAGACTCCAAACTGTCTATACAAAACAACAAAACTACTTATTCTAACCACTAAAGAGTACTACATCCATTATTTGAGAATGCTTATAATATGAGACCCAAATAAAATCGCTTGTCTTTTACAGTTACTAAACAAGTGATCGAGGCTCTTGGTAACTCCTCATAATATGTCCTTGATGACAAACTACACACCAACTCCTCCAAAACTAATGAGTTTGTCATAAAATACTTAATGATTTTTAGATCCCATTCTGAATGGAAATATTTCTTCATTACAAACTTTTTGAAATGAGACCCCAAACAAGATGGAACTGATTGAGTTCTTTTCCAAGACTAACAGTCACGATCAGACGCCATCATATAAGCATAATCACTTTCATCACCTATGAATTGAATCTGATTCCCTGAAAATATGAGAGATAAGTCAGATAATAAGATAATTAGCAACAATTACAAGATAATAATATGTAGTTGTAAATCAGAAGAGTCTCTGCAAATACAATAATAAGAGTACTAGTCATTTTTGAGAGCTTGGGATCAAAATCAAACATCACATTAACCTGTGTTAAAGTAAGTTCTTCTAGGAAAGGCGCGCAATTTAATAGCCCCATCAACAGTTTATTCCAATCATAATAGCCACAACAACCAAGCTTCAAACTTTTTAGATTACGAAAGACTGGCAGCTTACAGTTGAGTTCAGAAGCATCTACATAATCTAAACCTTAGACCAATGGGCAAACCAGTTAGATAAAATAAAAAAAAATAAAATAAAATAAAATAAAGAGTATATTTGAAGCCTAGTCAGAACTCATAAGGATGAAAGGAATAAAAGGACGCACCAATACAAGCCATTCACGCAAAAACAAATGCTGGACATTAGACATCAAATAGACAAGGCCCAGTACAATCTTACTATCAAAATCGGGTCCTTCAACCAGTTCAATGTCCGCTTCAACTAGAGCATTCAGATGTGCAATAGAGTAGCTCCTTGGACATGTGTCAAAATAATCTAGATACTCCAAGTTAGGAACATTAAACTCAACCTTACTCATTCATCCATCATAGGGTATAACATTCTCTATAGCTATTCTATGAAGAGAAGGTGAAGAAAATTACAGGAGGAGCCTCAGGTTCCTAGACACCATACTGATCAAGGCGTTGAAGGGATGGACAGCTCGAAACTAGCCTAGCCACAGAGTCATCATCCAGGAAGAAGATTAAAGAGAGATTAAACTCTTTCAAGTTTGGCAAACACACAGACAAAGGAAGTCAAGATCAAGATTGACATCGAGCTTCAACAATTCCAATGTTCCACAACCAAATATTGTTGATGGTAGGTTTTCAGGTGTCCTCACACGAGCATAAATGCCAAGTTCCCTGACTGCTCAGGCTAAGGGAAAAGTTAACCAGGCATTCAAGCGCATAGGTTCCATATCAGGGCAACAACCTCGATTGCAACCTGAAAACGGGTATTTAATCTCACAGTCACCCCCAAAATGAAGTCTAAAAGTGGTTATATTGTAAGATTGAGATGCTTTCAATACATTATCAACATACATCTCAAAAATATGGGAAGAGTCAATCAAATGTGGACGTTTCTGACAATGACATATAGGCAAGTCATTGAATTCGAGGCGTAATAACCAGGTGTAAATCCTCTTTCATCGCTTCGACAAAGCACTAGTAGCCACAGCCTCTTTCATAGGAAGGAATGAAAGAATGTGATTCAATAATTCGCCGGGTAAATTGCTAATCCTATCTTTCTTTGGCATCGTCATAATCGCAAAATTCCAAGAAACCTAGATTGAAATCATAGCACTATCAATAATAATCATCATCATAATCATAATCATATAATCAGTTCAATTGAGATTAAAATTTCTGATTCTTCAACTTAATTAACCAAAATTCAATACCCACAAAAGCAACATTCAAAAGAATTCATATCAAATTCCCCGCAAATGTAAATTTGTATTAAGATAAATCAAGAATTCTCAAGAACACACATTCAAAAAAACGAAATCAAATTGAAAATGTAAGAATGTAAAATTGAATATCATTAATAAGTATAATTGATATATGTACTCAAAATCACATTCTACAGACCAGACAAGACTAAATTAATTAAAATGGCATGAATATCGAAACAAAATCAAACGCAAGAACATCAAATTAAAACAATTAGTACAAATAAAACATGAAGAATTCAATTCAGAAAGAAATATAAGACTAAACCCTAGTTCATGAATGTACATAGGAGAGTGAAATCGGCGTACCTGATTGAAATGGGTGAGTTGATGATTTCTTCTAGAAGTTTCTGAAGAAGAGGAGGTTTTTGAATTGTGAGCTTTCTTTTTTGTCTGAGTGAGTTTTAAAAATGGAGGGAATAAGAATAGAATAGAAGATGAAAAAATGATTTGGTAATTGGGAATAAGATGGAGTAGGACATCGAAATGGTTTGATATGGCACGAATTCACCACGAGCCACACAGCCAAGTTCGATGGTCGGTCATGAGATGAGTATAGATCAGAGATCATTTTTTAAATTTGGGACGAGCGCAAGTGCGACGAATTAACTTATACGAAATTGTATATCATGATATAGTACATAAATTTTTTTGTATGGATCATATTTTATTTGCTCTTTTTACTGGTATATAATGTGTCTCATTTTAGAGCGATTTTCACTTAAAAATGCACATTAAAATATAAAATTGCCCCATCTACACCATTCTTTTACAAAATTCCCACTATAATGTCCATGTTAGCAATTTCTTTTTAAATAATTTTTTTTGTTTACGCACAAATCGCCATTTCAATTTGCAGTTTCAAAACAAAAAATTAAACAAATAAACAAAGCAAACTGCAGTCTTGTAGCGAGAATCAGAGATGCATAACAATGGAGAAATTGAAGGAATATATTCTCCTACTTTCCCATACCTTTTGCAACCCCACAAACCCACCACAATTACCATCACCAACTTCAAAATTGGCGAATAACTATGAGTTGTGATCATCAAAACTTGCTGAGAAAATCTTTAATTACCTGGTTTTGTTTTGATTCAACTTCTTATTATCTCCACGCTTTGTCAATTGATGTATTTCTCTAGTGTGAGTTGCCTTATTTATCGTCACAAAAGTTTTATGGGTTTAATAAAAAACAAGCCCCTAATTCAATTGGTAGTTCATCATTGTTAACCGTTAATTGAGTTAATGGTTTTGTGCTAACTCTTTTTTTATTTTTATTTTTTAAAAAAGAACAAAAAAACAAAAAAAAATGACTTCCTAGCTGATGTGAACAATATATGGTGAAAATTTTGTTAAAATAGGGTGTAATTGTCAGACCATACCAAATTGTAAACCATACTAATTTATGATGGGAGATATTGTTAGATTCGTCTCAATGTGTTACATGTATTACAATAAATGTTAATGATATTTATGATTCAAATCATGTATTATAATAATTGTGCATGACATTCGTGATTTATTAAATCCTACTTTTATATATTTTTGGTATATTATGTTGTCATATAATAATTTTGTTTGCTATTAAAGGCACATATTAAGACATTGTTCAATGGTTAAGTTCCTACAATTATTAATTAATTCTTAAGATTAAAAGTTCAAATCTTATATAAATTATGTATCTAAATTTTTTAATGTGCAATAACATGGAATAATATCCAATAAAGAAATTTAGGAGAGTACCACGTGTCATGCGGACTTGATTCAAAAGGCCTTTTAATCTATAGTATAGAATTGTTAAATTAAAGATATTAATGGTCAAGTATATTTTGAAAATTGTGCAAAGTAAAAACATAAACACCATTTTAGAATGGAGGAACATATTTTTTATATCAAACAAACAAACAAATAAACACTTCAATCACAATAATCCATCTTCAAAAGCATTCAAGAATTCTAACTACTGCTAGTACACATCTTGATTGGCAAGCATTACAATGGCTTAAGACTTTGATTAATCTAATTATGGTGCCAACATTTCAAATTTCGTCTCCAATAAGCTATTGATGATATAATACAAATGCCAAATATTATGTAGAGTATTATTTTGTTTTAACTAAACTCTTTATGATTTATGGGCCTTAGTAAACACCATTTGCATACATGTCATATATTTACCGCCTGGATCAAATTTAAGTGAGAGATTTTTGTATACACACTAAAGGAAAATTTTCACTTATTATTTGACGATTTACTACCTTTGCATTAAATCATCAAATGATCAAGAAGCACCCTGCACCTTGCACTTGGACGTAAGTAAGAATTTTTTTTTTTTGAAAATAAGTTTAAATTAGACCAAATTCAGTGTCCAAGCTACGATGACGTAACGTTAATGGGGCCCTCCGGCCCTGTGCAACTTTTCGAGTCCCTACATTCAACACCCAATTTTTGTTTGGCAAAAGTTTAAACAAATTCGTTACATTATACTTATGCAAATTGTAAGTTGTTGGTGGGAGAGATTGATCTTGAGACTATTCATAGTAATTTAGGAGCTCTAACTATTATTCCACCCATTTTGCATACTTATAAAAGTAATATGGTTATATGACTTGTATCCAAAAAAAACTAACAGCCTGGAACATAATATATAAATAAAGTCACCTTAGACAACTTCTAATGGTGGGCAAAAATAATGTTTGCCCAATATCTCTCTACCCACTTTCTCTCTCAACAAATCAGTTTTGCCCATGGGCAATTTTTTTTCACAATTTCTCTCCCAATGGTGAGCAAAAATAATGCTTGCCCACCACTCTCTCTCTTACTTTTTCAGTACCCCACCATTACTTTCTCTCTCCTACACAACATTTCTTTATTTATTAATTTCATTTATATTTTAACAATATTACTCCAAATAAAGAATACGTAGGATTTTTGTTATTTATGAAATTATGCCAAAATATACCAAAATGCATGTCTATTTATAGAGAATTAAATTTTATGACCGTTGATATTTTTTTTTTTTTAATAAATAGAATTTTTAGAAAATCAGATTTAATATATATAACCGTTGTGTAACGACTCTATTTTCTGATTGGTTAATTCGCTGCAGCCTGCCACATGTCGATGTCCCATTCGCTGAAGCTCTGCGCGCGTCAGTCCAGAAATTCCTTTTTTTTTATTCTGATTTAAGTGGGGCCCACGTTTGCACTGTTAATCATAATTCTGCCCAAAACTTGGGCATTTTAACACTTGCCCACGGGCTTTGTCATTTCAGCCCACCATTTTAACCCTTATTTCTCCCTTCTTGCTCACAAATATGCCCATGAACAGATTTTTAGCCCACCATTGGTAGAGCTCTTATAACCTTATCTTAAGTAAAGAGAACATAATATTGTCTTTCTCATCTTACAAACAAACACGTTAATCACGATAATTCATCTTCAAACGTACTCTAGAATTCTTACCACCGCTATACTTCTTGACTAGCAAAACATTATATCAAACAAACAACTGCATTATATCAAACAAACAACTACGAGTACGTCAATCCTCAATCACAATAATCTATCTCAAAAGCACTAAAAAATTCTTACTACTAGTAGTACAACCCTTGAGTTTCTTGACTAGAAGCAAGAAATACAATGACTTGAAAACTTAGATTAATCAAACTATTCTCATAGTAGACTCAGTCAAAATTTGTTGCAAAATTTCCAAATAAAGTCTCCATTTAAGAAATTTCCAGTGATTCCAAATTCCACTACCATAACCAATCACCATTAATAATAATCCCAAGTTCCAACCTTTCCATTCCAAGTCAAAACGAAACTGCTCCTTCAAACAAACCCACCTTCTACGGCATTATCACATTTCACACGCACGCGTTTCACTCCTTCATCATACCAAAGATTCCTCCTTTTTTCCATTTTCTCTCTCTTCTATTTCCAAAGCTGATTTTCTTCCCTTCATTTCTAACCTCATAATTATTACTTTCTTCACTAGTATTTAAGCAAGTAGTCAAGTACTAGTTGTAATAATTAAAAAAGTTGTGAACTTTCTGCAATTTTCTGGTGTTCAAACCCTAGAATTTTGAGAGAAAAAAAGGGTGGGGTTTTGAAATGGTGGGGTTCAAAGCTTCATCTTTGATTTGGGTGTGTTTATCTTTGGTTTTGGTGAATTGGGTTTCTGGGAATTCTGAAGGAGATGCTCTTTATGCTTTGAGAAGGAGTTTGAATGATCCGGATAATGTTCTTCAAAGTTGGGATCCGAATCTTGTTAGCCCTTGTACTTGGTTTCACATCACCTGCAACGGTGATGATCATGTCACTCGAATGTATAATCCTCTTTCTCTCTCTTTAATTTTGATTGCTTTTTTTTTTTTTTTTTTTTTTTTTGTGGATTTTTTGGATTTTGGACTTGTATTTGATTAATTTGTTTTTGTTTATTTATTTATATTTATTTTATTTTGGATGATATATTTGGTGGAATTTTTGCTTTCTAGTTCTGGAGTATTTGACTGACCTCCAGTTCAGATGATGTTGATTTGAGTAGTTGATTCGATTTGTCCTGTATTTGCATGAATTGGTGTATGTTAAGTGCTTGGTTTGTTGAATTGTTGTTGTGTTGATTGGTTTTGAGGGTTTAATTTTAGTCTATGTTAGCATTTGTATTGAATTTGTTTGATTTTGTGGTAGTTGTGTTCGTTTTAGAATGGTTTTTAAATTGAGGGAGATTGGTTTAAATTGAGTTACTTGAATGCGAATTTTGCAATGAGTTGAATTTTATCTATCATCTTGAACAATTCTTTGTTTGTTTTATGTGAACTGTTATCACATTCTTCTTGTCTGCCCCAATTTTTTTTTTTTTTTTTTTTCAAATGAAGTCAAGTAGGGCATTGATTGGTGTAAAAGAAAAGGTAGGTCAGGGATTTGGTTAACTGGTTTGCTGTAAACCAGAGAATCCATTGTTAACATTATCAACTGTATGAATTATTGCTTGTTGTGTTCAATGATTTTAGGGGTGAATTTTTTCCTTTAATTTCTCTTCGTTAATTTAAGATTTTGGAAAACAACTAAGAGGAGTCGTGGATCTGGGTTGTGGGGGAATTGTGGAAAAATTTATGATGAGTTTGTCAGGGTGAGTGGGTCTTGCTGCGGGGTTTAAGTTTCTTAGTTTAGTTCACACTACAGAAATGGCCTTTGTATATGTTAATCAAATAGTGTACGTGCGTAGTATTTTGTTAGCAGATACACTTTTTCGTATTTTTCCTGTACATGTACTCTTCTTCGAATTGGTAATTTGGTACCTAGAACATAATTGTTGTTAAATATTGGGCAAGTAGCAACTTGATTTATTTATGAACCTGAAAGTCCTTGATGCAACAAATAGTAATGGCAATTGGTACTGGAGGTATTCTCTAGTTGTATTACTAGTGCTGATGTGACGTATATGTGTGATGTGTGTTTTTATATGATTTTTGTCAGAATCTTAAAAGTATGCTGGTATTGGAGGGAAAAGTTCTTGCTATATACAAGAATTTTTCTTTGCCAATGCCGTCTCTCAATGATGTTTTTAAGAGAAAAGTTTTGTGAGTACAACCATAGATTGAGTCTAGTGAATAATATTGTTGTTTTTCAAAGGAAAAGCTCTTATGGGGATAGTTCAAACTGGAATCAGTGGCATCTAGCGCATAGTGATACACAGTTTGTATAGCTATGTTTTGACAACGTGGATGGTAGTAAAATTAGATGAATCATCATCTTGTGGAATCTTTGTTGGATGTGTATCATGTTATGTGTTCCTTTTCCT